ATTGAAATTGTCAATGATTTCATCTTACTTGGACCCACAGTCAAAACTTTGGTACCAGCAGTCAAGAAATCATAAGACACATGGCATTGGGAAAATCTGTTATCAGGGACTTCTCTAGAGTAACTTTTCTTCTTTAATAAAAGCAACATCAGTTGAAAGACTTAAGATGCCATGGTTTTCTTATAGTTGCTTGGTGTGCAACCAAGTTGGATAGTTGTGACTCAAGATGACAGAAGAATCAGTCAGTGCCTTTGAGTTGTGTTGTCGGAGAAGAGTATTGAATATCCCCTAGACTGTCAAATGAACAAATTGTTATGTCCTGGAGAAAGTGAACCTGGAGTGCTTTTTGGAGACCAGGACAGTAAAATTGTCTTACCGTACTTTGGACATGTTGTTAGGGGGGGCCAGTCCTTGGAGGATTAGAAAAGAAGACCCTCAACAAGATGGATTGGCATGGTGACCAACAATGGACTCAAGCATGCTGGAGATGATAGGATGGCATAGGGGAGGGCAGGGCTTAGAACCGTTCTTTATACAAGCCATAGCCTGATCAACACATAACAAACTTCAAGATTCTTCTGGTTTAACGATAAAATACAACACAGGTTGACAATTATAATACAGTAATAGTGAACATTTTCACTGTAATTAGTATGACTGATGAGTTTCTCATTTAGTAAGTTATATGATGAGTATCTTTGTTTTAACTAGATTCGTGTGAGAGATGACAAGATGCCCCTGGCACACCTTGCAATAGCTGTTGAAGCTGTTGGCTGGGCACATCCTGATACAATCGCTCTTATGGTTGCAAACACATTGATCGGCAACTGGGATCGCTCTTTTGGTGGGGGAATGGTATGTTTTTCCATGTAGAAGCTCTTTAAAGAATCCAGTCTTTTTCCCCCATCCTAATTCTTCCTGCGAATCTACTTCTTAAATAGCAAAATGGAGCTCTATAATACTTTTATCTTTTTAGTAGTAGATTTAATCCTCAGCTATATATAATGTAAATTTACACATCAATTAAAAGATAAATATGCCCAAAATACACACATTTTTAAATATAATACAGATAAACTAAAAAACTAAACCCACTACCAGTAATACCACCTCAGCAAGTCTTCAGATTGCCGAGGACTGGTCATCTTTATACACAACCCAAACATGTTTCATACAATTATCCTAGGCTTCAGATACCATATAGTTTGAACCTCTAAGTGTTTCTAACCAACCATGCCTAAAAACGAGTTGATAAGTAGTGTATCGTTTCATTTGTTGATTTTTTTTCCATCAAGAATTTTCTAAAAATTCACTGGGATGGTGAGATGAGCATGATACATTTTAGTTATGGAAATATTGCTGGATAGAAATGAGAACTTGGTGTCTTTGCCAAGTGCTGTTTTCCTTCCTGCTATTTTGGATGCGAGTACCTAGCATTCTCTTTTTTTTCCCATCTGCAGAACTTATCTAGCAAGCTGGCACAGCTCACTTGCCATGGCAACCTCTGCCACAGCTTTCAGTCTTTCAACACTTCCTACACAGATACCGGATTGTGGGGACTCTATATGGTTTGTGAACCTTCTACAATTGCAGACATGTTGCATGTTGTTCAAAAGGAATGGTAAGAAAAACCTCTGAGTAATTGAAATCTTGTCTAGATGCATCTTTTAGGTTGTTTTATGATGATGATTTTTAGAATGTAACGGTAACAAAATATGGTTGTCATATTCTCGTTTTTAAAAAATAAAATTCCATTTTCTATTAATGGAGAAGAGCAGAGGTCTAAAAATGTTTTATAGTCACAGTTACTGCTCTTACAGTTTAGATCTGTGTATGTAGAATAGTGGGGACAGCAGGACTGGGAATTATTTCCTTTTGTCTCCATTATTCCTCTTCTTTCCTCGACTTAGGAATCATTAAGTACACCACCACTGCTCTGAAAACAAGTTATGTAGGAAGAGAGTTCCCTTGTTTGATGAAGGGTCTGTAGTTTGAGTTTTCTTCTAAGCCTCATGTTAGGAAACTGCCTTCTATTACAGAAAATTATTACTTTCTGAAACAGATGACTTCAGAAATAAGATCTCAAAAGCCTAAAATATTTAAATGCCAACTGGAAGGTGTTTTTTTTTTTAATTTTATTGTTTTTGTGTGTGTGTACCGTCATATTAGATCTAACTCCTCCTTCTCTGGCATAGCATCTGGTGGATTTGAACTGCATACCTCTGGAAAATGGAAGTCATTTCTAACTAGAAGTAATCTGGCTTGGAGAGAATGTTCTAAAAGTACATCTGAAGTATCCATTGCTAAAAGAAAAATGTTTCTGTTAGGCAAGTTTAGGGTTTACTAGAAAACTAGTTGCCTTTAGTTCTTTTCCTTTATTTACTCTCTCCCTAAATGCAGGCAGAAGGGGTACAATTAGTAACTAGGTTTAAGCCAGACTCACCTACTCTTTCTTTTTTTTTTCCTATAATTATATTTTATTAATTTTCATAAACATTTACAGAGATTTTGGGCTTCCACTCATTCATTGTTGCACTATTCTCTCTACCCTCCTCCCAGTTTGTTCTTGTCCAAATGCCACAGTGCTTGTCAAAGCCAGTTCTGATTAATCTTCTTTGTCAGTGTATCCTTTGCCATTCCCTATCACTCCTCCCTGAGAGAGACTTCACCCTGAGTCATAAGGAAAAGGGGACGGCGTATTCTCTTAGCTACTTCCTGCTGAAAAGGGACGCTGTGGGTTTCAGGGTGAAGATCTTCTCTCACTACTCTATAGGGCCCCTTTGGCAGTAGGAAACACGTAGACTATTATGGAGATTGATTTTGGAATTCAGATGCACTCTTATTGATTGTGCTTGGCTGTACATGTACATATCCTTCAAGATGTATCATGGGGGTGTTGCAACCTAGAAGACACAAATTTGACTAACAAGTTATAAGTACATGAGTCCAAAAATTATGGAAAAGTAAAAGAAAAGATTCTTTCATTGTTTTACAAACACTCCCCCAGGTCCCCTCCACCATGCAGCCCTCGATCTAGTCTCCTGTGATGACAGAAATACCCAGTTACATCTCTCTTTTAGACGGTTCTCTCCCTCCTCTGTTTCAGTGCAGTATACATTATTGAACCCTTCTTACTCAGTCTCTCCCAACCCCAAGGACAGTCCCATTCTACAACAGTGGCATCATGTAATATTTGTCCTTTTGTGACTGGGATATTTCACTCAGCATAATGTTCTCCAGAGTCAACCATTTTGAATAATATTGCATGAGTTCCTTGTTTTTTAATGCAGCATAGTATTCCATTGTGCGAATATACCACAGCTTCTCTAGCCATTCGTTTGTTGATGGGCACTTAGGTTGTTTCCAACTCCTTGCTATTGTGAACAAAGCTGCAATAAATATGGGTGTGCATTCACCTACTCTTTCTGAGAAACTACTGGCCCAGCAGATGAGACCCTAACAGATGGAGATTTGTTTAGTCTCAGATTACACTCTAAAAATGCAGAGTCTGTTTTTTATATTATTGGAACATTTGTTTGCAAATCATCAGACAAATTTATATATTGTTTTTGAGACATTAACAGTACTAGGGAGCCAGTTCTTGGAAACAGACATGCTAGGAAAAGATAGGGAAAGAGAAGACGACCTTTAACAAGCTGGACTGACACTGTGATTATAATAATTGCTTCAAGGACGTTCTAGATGTCAAGATGATGCAGGATAAGACAAGGTTTTGATTTATTAGGTCGCCGAGTCGTAATCGATTCAACAGCGCTAACAACAGGGAAAAGTACACATTAGTAATATGCAGCCTCCTACCTAGCTGTTGAGGGAGCCAATCCATAGGCACAAAATTCCAATCCACCAGCTCCTCTGTGGGAGAAAGAAGAGCAGTTTCCTCTTTTCAGGGGTGATTTACTGCCCCTGAAAACCTGCCATGGTCAGCTATGACTTGAGTCTGACTCAACAGTATATAGATAGCAACAGCGTCCTACCTGTCGAGATCATTAGTAACTTCAACTTCTTATAAAGGCGATAACCTTTAAAAATCATCATCTCCTGATTATTATGGTTTTTCAGGATGCGACTCTGTACAAGTGTCACTGAAACTGAAGTTGCAAGAGCCAAAAATCTTTTGAAAACAAACATGTTGTTGCAACTTGATGGTAAGAATAAGGTCTTAAAGAATTAAGTTTTGGTTGATGTATATTCCAGTACCTAGAACTTCCCTTTTCTTTAAATAGGTTCAACTCCAATTTGTGAAGATATTGGTAGACAAATGTTATGCTATAACAGAAGAATTCCCATCCCTGAACTTGAAGCTAGAATCGATGTAAGCAGCCTTGAGGTCTTGTGTAAAAAAAAAAAATCCCTGTTAAAAGAAACTTTGTTACAAAGGCTAAAAAAGATATAATAGAATTTGCTTTAGGGTATAAAAAGCTTTGAATGGTGATAATACCTTCCTCCCTATTTCAGGCTGTAGATGCTGAGGTCATTCGAGAAGTATGCACCAGATATATCTATGATAAGAGTCCAGCGATCGCAGCTGTTGGTAAGCCTGGCTCCTTTCTCTCTGTGTAGTATGTTGGTCAAGAATTTTTCTGAAAATTCTTAATTACCTTCTTTTTAATCCTTAGGTCCCATTGAGCAACTACCAGATTTTAACAGGATTCGAAGTAATATGTGCTGGCTTCATGACTGAAGTGGCCTTATCTGGAACATTTCAGCTTATATATATTCCCCGCCCCCCCTCCAACAGCATATATATTTTAAAACTGACAGAGACCAGGGAGGTTTATGTTGTAGATTCTTAAAAGGAAAAAAAAATAAACATGAATATGTCTTAACAGGAACATCTTATGTTTGGTAATTTGAATGGAAATAATTAGGTTTGTTTGGCTTTATTGCAATCTTTCAAAGGAGGAGGTTATTAATGTCCTAAATAAAAGTTTTGTATATTGGTTGATCTCTGAACTCAGAAATTATATTGGAGGCAGCAGTTCCAAATAATTAGCAAAAGTATAATTTTAAGAATAAAATTTTGTACAGTATTTTCCGTTTTATTATAAAAATGCACACACACGGATTGTCACGGGGTCATTTCTTGGCTCTGCTTGCAGTCAGCACTTGTTCTTGAGCAGCTTTCTTTGCTTTTACCATCTCGACAAGTTCCTAGGAAAGAAAAAGTGGTCAGAATTGGCACAAACATAAATAATTCACATTAGTTGGATTTATAATTACAAAAATGCCCCATCACTAATTTCTGCCATACAAAAATGTGTTAAGTAAAAAAAAGAAAATGTATTAAGTCATATTACTAAATTGCCTAATATTAAGAAATAAAATGTAGGCTACAACACAAGTTACATTCTAAGTAATGCTGTATCACCAGGCTCCCTAATGGGATTTATCAGCTGAAAATTAGCCACCTTGTATCGCTTCATGCAGTCTTTCTTTGTCCTGCCAGGCACTGCTTCTGCTATTTTTTCCCATCTTTCAGGAGTATTTACTGGATACGTTTTCAAAGCTTGTTCCAAAAGCTTTTGTTCTTCTGTTGTCCAGGGGGTGAAATCTGTACATGGACCTGCTTTAAAAAAAGTTTTTAAAATAAAAAGATTTTTATCTGAAAACTGACTGAGCAGAAATTTATTTGAAAAACCTTACTACTTGTGTCTTTTGATGTACAGCTATCTTGTTAAATGCCCCTTCAAATCTGGGATGTTTAATATTGAACTGTTTTTAAGAGACGAAACACACAAACTCTAGCAGTTAGGAAACTTAGCTAAATAAGACCCTGCAAATCCTTCCCATTTTATGCTGAGGAAATCTAACTTCTAAATTCTTAAGGTTTCAGTGCAGTTGGGGCAAGCTGAGGTAAGAGCAAGTGTTTTTTCTAGGACTTTTCCCCTACAGCCTTGAAGCATCATGGGTCAATGCTAAGCAGTTCTACGGCTGATAATACTGTAGTTAACAAATGAAAAGCAGATGGATCCGAAAGAATTTTTCTAAGGATGTAAGTCTACACTTTCCATGTAAGTAGGGAAAATGAGTACGTTAAACGGTTTAGTTGATCTCATTAGATTACAGGCACTGTTTTCAAAAATTACACAGTAGGATGATATATAATCTAACTGAAAGACTATAAAACACAGCGCAGAGCACATGCTGCTGCATGAGGAGGGAAGGAACGGAGGCTCTGGCAGCAATTTCCATCGTGCCTTTGACTCCACCCTAATGACAGCAGAGTCACAGATGGAGCTGAATAAAAGAAAGGTTTAAAAAAGCAATGAAAGCTGTGCTAGCACATGAGCAGTGCAAGGAAAAAAGCCAATAAATGCTTCTGAATGAAAAGGAAAATGTCTTTTTTAATGGTGGTATTATAGAAAATTGCAAGGAGAGAATGGATGGCCAGACTGCCCTTACCTCATGCTATTCGATCAGACTTGTCAGAAATCTGTTTATTTACCAGCAATGAGCCCAATTTAACTCCTGAGAAGTCAAAATGTTTCTAGAGGGATCTTCTGAATAAGGATAAAAACCATTTCTCAGGTTATCTTGATCTAAACTTCAAAATAGGAATATAACCCCTGTGGAGCCAAACTTTGTGTCTTGGGTAATTCTCACTTCTTCCTTATTGTGTAAACCTCCTGGCCAAGGACTTAGCAAAAGAGATCAATGGCCGTACTGGTGGAAGTCTTAAAACATACTGGTGGAAGTCTTAAAACATCTCCAATAGTGGTTTTTGCGCCACTAGCCATATTAGTCACTCTAGAATGAAGATCCAGTGTAGCCTGCTGAGAATTTCATTGGTGTCACAAAATTTTTTCAGAAAAATTGCTGGAGAAGTGGGAGAGTGTGAAACTCTTATACCTGAAATTGGAAAGATCTGCTGCCCTTCCAGTCTTCATCTGTCAGCTCTTTGAAGGAGAAGAGAGTACCCTCTCCTGGCCAGAAGGAAAAGGAAACAAAGCAAAGACAGAAAAGCTGAAGAAAAGAGAAAAGCAGTAGACTGCAAAGGCTCAAAAATAGGGCCTCCACTAAAGAGCAGGGGCAGTGGAAGGCAGCGGGGTTCTGGTGAAGACCCCCTAAGCCCCAGAAGGGAGAGACCCCTGGAGGTAATGAAAGCCCAGCTGAAAGCAAATGAATGTGAGGCTGAGATCCTGTTGCTGATGCCAATGGAAAACCTAACAGAATTAAGGCTGCATAGTGGAGTGTACTGGGGGTGGGGGTAACAACACACTATATACCAATGAAGGAATTTTACTTTTCAAAGAGAGGAACAAACTGGGGAGGAGGGGTGGGCAGGGAGAAAAGTGCAACAATGAATGAATGGAAATATGAATAAAATTTTTTAAATATAGAAAAGGAAAAAGATTCTGCAGTTAAAAAGTCTCTACAAGACTCCTGCTCCTAACACCCCTCTTGGGAAGAAGGTAAGACCTCACCAGCTCCAGAGGCCCTTAAACCTGCAGAGTCAGGGACCCCAGAGAAAGCCCAGGGAAGAAGCCAAGAGTCCAAAGAAGAGGCAGAGAAAAAGAGTGGAACCTCCCACTGGGGAAGACCCGAGAGAGACTCCAAAAAAGCCTAAGCCCAAGGTCTTCGCCACTTCTAGTCAATCTGCCTGGAAAATGCCCCAAACCCCTAAACAACAGTTCCTAAGCCCTAAAGTGCCCTAGGCAACCTAAAATAACAAGCTCTACCAGAGAAAACAGATGTGGAGCTTAAAAAATTTTAAAAAACAACTCACACCAGATCCTGATGAATACTTTCCAGTACCAACACCTGAACTATTTTTTTTTTAATACTATCAGAGGTAAATCTGATACATGCTTCTGGGTATGAGGACCTGTGCTCATGTAAAAGCCATTTTTCATTGCTTTTCTGCATTACTTGCTAAAATAGGGATAAAAATATATTGCTTCTCTCCAGGTGTGTTTTGATTTTGTTTTTTTAATTAAAGTATAACTTTTAGGGGGAGGGAAAGCCCTTTCCCAACCAAAAAAACCAATGTATATGCATGAAATGAAATGTATTATGAATGATAAAAATATTACTAAAAATATAAATTACACAGTAAAAATACAAAAGCAGTCAAGACTATGAGTATTCTAACTTCAAGTAGTCTTCTGTTTATGTTAATAGGGTTTTTTAAAAAAACTTCAAGTAGTCTTGATATATGGATAACACTACTTTTAAAAGAGAAAAACCAGAATTTAATTACCTTCGAATCTTTCTGAAGGTGTCGCATTATCTGCTTGAGGTACCACTCCATGTTCTTTTTTAAACTTATCAAAAGCTTTTTTGTTTATGTCATCTTTTTGATGAGGGTCTGAAAAATGACAGAGATAAAGAATACAGGTCATCTAACGGAGTCCTTTGCTAGGTTGCAGATTATTACTTAAAATATATGTTGTTCAAATTAACAAGGACACTGATTTCTCAAGACCAAAACTCACCAAGCTTTTGGAGACTCTTTGCTTTACCAATAACATCTTTAGCAGTTCTCTTGACTCCCGAAGAAGAATGTATATTCATGTAATTGGCAATAACTTCCCATCTAGGGCAATCAATAATAATAGCTCAGTGATGGTTAAGGGAAAACCACCACCATCAAAAGTCAGAACAACCCTTAAATTCTTACTGCATAAAGGTCAGCTGTATTGACTAGTGGACTAGCTCCAACTCTGTGGTCTAACTATGCTAGCATTCTTAATTATTAGTTCCTGGACTACTCTTTTCGCTTTTCAGGTATTAATCCAGTGCATATATTGTTTGTGACTTTTGCACAGAAGCTTGTGCAGTAAGTGATAACCCCAAATAAATACAAAATAATTTAGGAACCTGAGATATAAGAAATCATTCCGAAAATAACCTAGTTCCTCCTTTGTAGACAAAACAAAAAAACCCCTCACTGTTGTCAAATCAGAACTCATAGCTGGCCCTTCAGTGGTTTTCAGAGGCTGTAAATCACACAAGAGGAGCCTGCCTATCATCCTTCTGCAGTGCAGCTGGTGGACTCGAGGTGCTGCTGCCCTTGAAAACAGCACAAATTCCTAGGGACTAGACCACCAGTGCTCCCTACAGACAAAAGGAAGCTGGATTTTTAAGGTCGCTGAACTCAAGTTTGATGGATTTCAGCTTGGAAGTAATTTCCAGTTTGAGTTGGGAAGCAACAGTACTAAAGAAAAATACATATAGAAAGCCTCATCCCCAGCAGAAGCCATGACCAAATATACCAACATAGAAGCCATGGTTATTTACATATTGTGATCTTCAGTTCTGAAGTTAATCCAGTGTCTTGGTCCATGGCTATGTGTATGAATGCAAGGCTTTGCGCGCATGTGTAATGAAGACCAGCAGTTTCACACTGGACCTTGCTTTTTTTTTTTTTTTTTTTAATTTTTGTGTGAGTGTACCGTCAAATCAGATCTGACTGGTACAGGAGGAGATTGTCCCTCCTTCCCCGGCAGAGCATCTGGTGGCTTTGAACCGTGCGCCTCTGGGATTGTAGTTACAGCTCCTTGCCACTAGGCCACCAGAGCTCCCCTTGGACCTTGCTTTTTAGCTCTTCAACTGAGACACAGAATTTAGTGGAAGTTGGTATGTCTAGGTTCAAGTATTATTTCTGGAGTTGGGGCTATCACCAATGTTGTTACACGAATGTCTGTCTACATGGGCTCTGAGTTCCAGTATGTGATGAAGAAAAGTTTAAACCAGTACCTTGAATTTGTGCCAGCTGGAAAGAGGTTTACAGCTTTAATCAATAATTGCAGGTCATCCTCCGACCAGTTTTTACCACCATTTCCACTTCCACCAGTTGACTTCTCAGCATTCTTAGAGGCTTGTCGCATGCGAGCCTCAGCTTCCTCTTTCTCTTTTCTAATTTGCTCATTTACTTCTTCTATCTGCACAGATACCACAAGATTGTCAGGGATTTAGAAACTCCATATTCCTTTACTGATGATGACTCTCATTTCAGAGTTAGCCTCACTCTGACAGTAGGTTCAGCCCAGAACCATATCAACTTTTCACACAGGCTTTCCAGGCTGCACAGCTGCTTGAAGGGAACCAAAAATCACCACCACCACCACAGCCAATTCATTGGCAAGTCAACAGGTTATTCATCCACAAGGTCATTTCAAACCTCTAAGTTAATACTACATTTAATAATGTCATTTATTCTGCATAAAAAAGGAAAGGCAAAGCAGAGGGGCTTCTGTTTGATCTTGAAGTCTATTAACACGTTGCTGCACACTTTTAAATTGACGACCGTGCTTAGAAACACATTTTTTTTTCGATGTATTACCATCATTCACGGCAACGTGTTAAATAGTAGAGCATGGTCTCTTGACTACCTTTAAACATGCACAGGGGAGATATATATAATACAGATAGATATGGGGTAATAGGGGTAGTTGTTTCAGAGACAATAAGGTTGGCGCAGGATAGAGCAGGGTTCAGAGCTGTTGTACATAGGGCACCTTGATGGCATGTAACGTCTCTGCTTCAATGCTGCTTGTGGTTAGATAGATGCCGCTCACAGCAACCCTACGTACAACATAATGAAGCACTGCCCAGCCCTATGCCATCTTCACTACTGCCACTGTGCTGAGTCACTGCTGAAGCCACAGAGTGTGAGGGAGGCCGTTTGGTTGCTGGTCTTCCTCTTTTCTGCTGACCTTCTAACTTTAAATCAATCCACAACATCTCCAAAGTACACAAGATGAAGCTTCATTGTGGCTGTCCTTCTAAGATACATCTGTTATTCTGGTACTCCAGTCAGGCTTAATATTCTTCACCAACGTCATCATCCAAATAAATTTTTTCTCCAATCTTCTTTATTCACTGTCTAGCATGAGCATGCCCACGAGGTGAATGAAAATAGAGGTTAGCTCTTTCTCATGCTCAGCAAGCAGGACTGTTAGCTGAACACCACGGGTTGTTAGTTTTCTTTCAAACCTGATGCCAAGTTGTTCTTATATACTCCAGCTTCTCAGTTTATTTGCTCAGCATACAGACTGAGCAAGTACACTGAAAGCATACAACCTCAACACATACTTTCCCTGATTTTAAACCATGCAGTACTCCCTTGCTTCTAATTCCCTTTCCTCTTGATTATGTATAGGTATTTTCTAAGCACAACTAAGTGTTCTAGAATTCCATTCTTCACAATGTTTATAATTTGTTAGGACCCACACAGTCAAATGGCTTTGCATAGTCAGTAAAACACAAGTTCTATTTTTCTAGTATTCTCTGCTTTCAGCCATGATCTGTTATCAGCAAAAATATCCTTGAATTTCAGGCAGCTCCTTAAATATAGTATTAAGACGCTGTTTTTGCTAGGTGCCATGAAGTTGAGTATGACTCAAAGCAACTCTATGAACAAAAGATCTGAACCCTGTTCTATCCTGTGCCATCCTCAAACTTCCTGATACACAGGAGCCCATTGTGGCAGTTATCACATCAATCCATCTGGCCGAAGGTCATTTTCTCCTTCACTGACATTCCACCCTTCCCAGCACCATGTCCTTCTCCAAGGAACAGTCCCTCCTAGTAATATGCCCAAAGTATGTGGGGCGAAGCCTCACCATTCTTGCCTCCAAAGAGTACTCTGGCTGCACCCTCTCCAAGACATATTTTTGTTAATGATACTGTTCTATAATTTCCACATTTTATATTACCTTTCTTTGGAAGGGGCATAATTCTGTATCTCCACATGACTGGCCATGTAGCTTTCTTCCAAATTTTTTGTCACAGACAATTATGTGTTTCCAGGGTTACATCTGTGATTTGAAATATCTCAACCAATACTCCATAAATTCCTAGAACCCTTCTTGCCAGTACCTTCAGTTCAGGTACTGAAGGATGTCTTCAGTCTTCAAATCTTAGAGCCAACCATTTGCCAAATATGAGTGGCAGAAAGATTTCTAGTTCCCACTGCCACTTTAAAGGACCGTATGGTGAGATTCTTATAACCAACCAGTGACTTCCAACTACACAATGCATCCAGCAAATACCCTATTATCAGTACAATGCAGAATATTCTGCAGCTCAGGTTGATCATGGTATTAAAAATACTCCTTAAATCTAGCTCTACTTTTTCTAAACAACCTCTTGTCTTATCTGTTCCCCATTAACTTTCTATTCCTATCTCTCTCTTGTCGTTTCTGCTGTTTCCCTGAGCTGGCTGCCTCATCTTCCTTTCATTTCAACATTGTGCCTTTCAAGACGTTCAAGCCCTAAACTGAGCCTTGCCTACCCACCCAAATCTGGATTTAGCACTTCTTTAATCTAACCACATTTACTGTGGACTTTCCACCTTCTGGTCTGTCAGCCTTTTCTCTTTCATTGTTCATCAGCTCCTTTGTGGCAGCAATGCATCAGGCATCTCTCCATATGGACCAAGGCACAATGCCAGATATATAGTATGTACAGAACTAAAATTTTTGGGCTTCCTCATCGATGGCTCTTAACAACAACCTGTAAAATAAAATGTGTAGACTAGAAAGAACACAGAACTCTCTGGTTCTGTAAGTTACTATCCTTTGAAAATGGTCAAGGAATAATCAAAACTGTTTTCTAACAATAGTTTTGCCAACACAAGCTAAATACCACAAATCAAACACTCAAATTACCAACCAAACACACTAAATTCGATTCACATTGTGCAAGGCCACGTACAAGGATGTAAAGGGAAAACTCTGCCCTTTCCAATGTCTACATCAGGCAGGGGAAGAGGCCAAAGCAGTAACATAAGCAGAATTAAATGTTAAATAGAGGCAGAACTGACGCATTCTTCTCTTACCTGTTTTTCCAGAGCTGCCTTTCCTACTTCTTTTGTAGATGATGAGAGGGTTTCATTTAAGCACTGTAAGCTAAACAAACAAAAAAATGGGATGAAACTTTATCCTAAGGACAAGAGTAGACTTCACAAGGCAGCTCTATAGGTATACCTTGCTAGTTCAAGTCGATCACAAAGCTTTTCCACTTCTTCCATCATTTTAACCCTCTCTGCCTCAGTGTCCGAAAAATGGTTCCAGGTCTAGAAAGAAAATATTTTCATCTGTTGTTATTATCCAATAAGAATATATCCATGAACACAATTACAGAGTATGAACTTTTCATCGATAGCCCTAAGGTGAACTTGCATTCTGGCCATTCTCCCTGAACAGCAAATAGCAATTAAATGTGTTCCTTAGAGACAAAGACTGTGAAACGTTTTGTTGTTGTCGTGTACCATCGAATCTGATTCAACCAGCACAGGAGGAAATTGCCCTTCCTTCTCCAGCGAAGCTTATGGTGGATTCAAACGACATGCCTTTGGGATTGCTACTAGGTCACCAGAGCTCTCAAAATGGTGAAACTTGTCTCACATACTTTCGGCATGTTGTCAGAACGGGGCATTCCTTGGTAAAAAGGTAACATGCTTGGAAAGTATCAGCAAAAGAGAGGTAGACCCTCAACAAGAGAGAGTGATACAGTGACTATAATAATAGACTCGAGCATATAGAAATGATGAAGATGGCACAGGATAGGGCAAGGTTCAGATTCACTGTTCATAGGGTCGCTATGAGTTATAGTCCACTTGATAACACCTAATAACCATCACCAAGCTGGCAGGGGAGCAAATAAGGAGAAATAGAGTGAATCACTGGATGTTATAAGTCATGATTCCTCAGAGATCCACACACTCTCTCACTGCCACAGAGCTGAAGTGGGTTTTCAGAGGCTGTAAACGGCACAGGAGGAAACTATCCATCTTTCTCCTGAGGAGCAGTTGGTGGATTCAAACTTCCTGCCTTTTGACTGGCAACACAATCCCCCTATTCATTAGGCTACCAGAGCTCTGAGATTCACTAGGATCAAGAAATTCTGTAAAATTATTCAAATACTTTCTCCATGACCTCTTTCCCCTCTTCTCTTCCCAACACACAGAAATTCTGAACTGCAAGGCCTGAGGCTACAGGGCTGTGAACACAAAACAGGCAGGCACTTGCTAGCTAGGTGCTGCCTGCTTCTTCGACTGGAGGTCATGGCCACAGAGGCAGTGGCCCCCACAGAGGAGTGCAACTTGGATGCACTGTCCTACCCTGCAGAAGGGAGATTAGGCAGGGCAGCTCAGCCCACAGATCCTCCTTGAAACCTACCAACTTGTTAATGCACAAAATAGATTATCTAAAACTCAAAATAATGATATAATCTGTAAGTGAGCAATATATGTAGGAATACAATCAGTAGGACTTCTGGAAGCCTAGGACATGTCAACAACAAGAAAGGATGTTAGAACCTTTGTGAGAACCAGAATCCATGGATTGAAGGACCCCAGGAGAATGGAGACATTAAGTGTCAGCAACGGAAGCATGGAACTGCTTTTGAAATCCTGCTTGATCTCTTAGCACCCTGACCTGGCCCTAACCCACTCAGGATCCAGCTTATACTCTACTGCAGATGATCCGATTTATATTAATTGTAACATAATAGGAAGCTCAGGAGACATAGTCTGTAAAGAATTGCTCTGTTAACTCAAAGGCCCCACTTTTGTGGCTATTCAAATCCACTAGCAGCTCCCTGACAGAAAGATGCATAGTCTCTGATACAATTTACAACCATGAATGCTTGCTGGAGGGTCAGCAATTAAACAGTAAAGAGAAGGAGACTAGAGCTTAAAATTTCATTACTTTATTCAGTGCTATTTATAAGGATCAATACTGCTCTCTGGCTTTATCAGTTTAAAATGGAAGGAAACTACCCCTTGGCCAAAACTACATTTCAGAACTTTTGGGGATTTTGATGAGTAATTTTCAATCAAGGCTGTACTGGAAAGCAAACCACTAGTAATCATCTAGATTCTTAACCTTTGATAGACACAGAAATGAGAGCATTTTTTAAAGTCTTTGAAAACAATCCAAGTTTAACTCCTAAGATAAACTTTTCACTTAGATTTTACATCGTATGAAATAAATCCGCCACAATCTAATTGTGGGACATTCTACCGAAAAAATAATAGGGCTCCTCAAATGAATCAGCAGCAAGATGCTGATGGGAGGGCTATTAGAGAATAAGAGGATCTGAAGAAACCTAACTAGGAAAGGTAACAACTGAAGTCGCAAACGTATTTATCCTATTTTTACCCTAATATGAATAAAATCAACTATAAAAAGACAAGATTGAGGAAAGTGAGGAGATCTGCATGTGGATGGATTAAAAAGGGGTTAAACAAAACAACTCTAAGTTTGTGAACAGCAGGATGGTTTGTTTAAAAACATAAATTTAGCAACGGAAACTGAAAAAAAAATGCATGCATGCAATTTTAAAATAAGCTAATTTATCAACACATTGACATTCTGTGATAAAACATGTACAAATGCTTTGTTTATTTCAAGAAATATTTTGAAGTCTTCTCAGCAACATGATTTACTGGCCTAGCTTTTGTTCAGCCACACAGCTGACATACCTTGCATGAATTCCGGAGTTTCTGTCTTTCCCTCTTAATAGCTTTTTTCTGGATATCTTTCTCTTTCTTTGCCAATAATGCCTGTTGTCTCACTTCTTCTTCTTCCTTCTCTTTAGCTAAACGAGCTGCTTCTAACTCAGCTTGTCTTTGCTGTTGTAAAGGGGAAAAAATAATTTTAGTAAGAAAATTGGAATTCCTAAATATCGTATCTTATTTTTAAAAATCAATTTTTAATAAACTAGAAAAAAGGTGACACATTTCAACTTAATGAAGATAAGCTGAACTGGAAAAAGCAAAATTCTGTACTTATCAGAATATTTAAAACAAGTGTAATGTTAACACACATACAATTAAAGGATTTTACATAAACAGTGTATTTTTCAGTCAATACAAATCTGCTGAGAAGTCCTCTCGTAAGCGGACCAACTTGTCATGATGCATTCATAAAAGCATCCAATTCTCTTTTTAAGGACTATAGCTTATCAACAGCTCTGAAGACAAGAGTTCACAAACGTGTCAAGTGCATCTGCATCACATGGAGCTCACTTTTTCTTTAGCTTCTTGCTCCTTCCGTTTGGCGTCTGCTTTTGCTTTCTTCTCAGCTTCTTTCTTGGCCTTTTCTTCTTCCTTGAATTTTTTTATCCTTGGGTCACAACTGTATGCATTATCTACCAGAAAAGAAACAGACCTTTTCAATTTTTAACATTCAATTGAAGAATTTAAAACATAACTATCAGCTGTACTCACCAACTAACGTTCTTATTCTGTTCATTTCTTCTTTTTTTCTTTGTGCTCTTGTTGCTCTGTTTTGCTTTTCAATCCATCTTCTCTCATCACGGCTATAAAATTTCAAATATTGGAAACAAACTGCTGCTTATCAATAGTATCACTAGAAAATGTAGTATTTCATAAATCTCCATTCTAAACAGTGCTAGAAGGTTAATATGCTATGTTACTAGACACATTAGTCAAAAAGAATTTCTTAGTATTTTCACTAATTTTTTGACAATTCTTCCAAAAGATTTCCTTACATAAACAGGAAATCAAAACTAAAACCTAGGTTAAGAATTTCCTGAATGGCATTCACAATCCCTTACAGTTTTTTTATTGTGATTTTAATGACAATTTACAGAAAAGTTGGATTTTCATTCATTCATGGTTGCCCATTTTCGTCCCTACTCCCCAGTTGACTTTAAAAAAACAAAAAAAAATCATTCACTGTTGCATAATTTCCTCCCTTCCTACCCAAACCCTTCCCCAGTCCACTTTGCTCTATCTCTTATTCTGGACTGTTATCATACAAATAATGCCTAATCATTTGTTCCTTTTAAACAGTTCTTTCCTTCATTTGTTCCAGTGCAGTGCTCATTATCTAAACCCTCTTTTCTTAGTTTCTCCCCAATCCCCATGTCAGTCCTGTTTTTTAAAAGAGCCGATACATAGTTTTTGCCCTTTTGTGACTGAGATATTTTCCTCAGCATAATGTCCTCCAGGGTGATCTATGTTGTATATGAGTTCCTTGTTTTTCAGTGCTCGTAGTCTTCCACTGTGTGAACATACTATAGTTTTTCTATCCATTTATTTGTTGATGGACATTTAGGTTGCTTCTATCTCTGTTATTATGAGTAACAATATAGCAATACAGGTGGGTGTGCATGTATCTCTTTGGGTAAAAGCTCTGGTTTTTCTTTAGGGTATATTCCTAGTAATGGAATTGCTGGGTCAAATGGTATTTCTATTTACAACTTTCTTAGGAAGTACCATAGTGGTTATGCCATTTTACATTCTCATCAGTAGTGAATAAGAGTTCCAATCTCTCCACAATCTCATCAGCATTTGTTGTTTGCTGCCTTTTCAACTTTCCTACTGTTACTGGGGTGAGATGGTATCTCATAGTTGTTTTGATTTGCACCACTCTAACATCTAGGGATTTTCAACATTTCAACATCTTCTTTGGTGAAGTGCCTATTCATATCTTGTGTCCATTTTGTGATTGTTGTTGTTATGTGCCATCGAGGTGCTTGCGACTCATAGCGACCCTATGTACAACAGCCCCCAAACTCTGCTCTGTCCTATGCCAATCTCACTATCTCGAACACACCCATCCCAATTACTCCAGTCACTGAATCAATCTACCTCATAGAGGGCCTTCCCCTCCTGCACTGTCCCTCCATCCTACCAAGCATGCTGTCTCTCTCCAAGGACCGGTCCCTCCTTACAACATATTCAAAGTATGTTAGACGGAGCCTCAGAATCCTTGCCTCGAAGGAGCCACCCATTTTAACCCTTTCTAGGATGAAACTGTTTGCTTTCCTAGCAGTTCATGGTACCCTCAATTCTTCTCCAACACCACAGGTCAAAGGCATCAATTCTCCTATCCTCCTTAGTCACTGTCCAAGTCTCTGATGCATAACAAGCAATAGCAAAGACCATAGCCTGTATCAGACGCACCTTAGTCTCTAGAGGGACACCATTGCTTTTCAGTACTTTGTAGAGGTCCTTAACAGCAGACTTTCCCATTGCAATATGTCTTTTAATATCCTGGCTGCTGGTGCCAAGAGTGTTGACTGTGGAGCTAAGCAAACTAAAGCTGTGAACAATCTCTTCACCATCCATTCTGATGCTGCCAATTGGCCC